TATATATATATATATATATATATATATATATATATATATATAGTAGATACAGCTGAAAATAAGAAATTTGTTTTGAAAAACAATTAGAAATATTTTTCGATATCAGGATCATAAGCTATTGATATGACTTATTTTGCTTACTGCACTAATACTTTTAATGCAAATACTATAAGAACAGTAGCAATCTTGTATTCATTAATAATTGGTGACGGCGATGGTAAATAAATATTAGCGTAATAAACAAATTATTCCCGTCGAGTTAGGCAAAAGCAAAAATATATTCAAAGATAAGTACCTGCTCAATACCTGACAGAGCATAAAGATTAAATAACGTTACATATTGCGTGATATGAGTACTAAATTCGAGAAAATAATTTTGTGGAATGACAAGTAATAAGCCAATAAACATATCAGATATCGAGTCAGATTTCGTGAAACTGGCTTCAAATTTAAAATCAAGGCAACTTTCTGCAATGCAAATGTTCAAGAGCTGATATCTTGTATCTTTAACTCATTGTAAATTATTTCTGATGATTAAAAACATTGCATAGTTCAGTTAACATACTTCTAAACAAATGTTCGTCAAGAAAACTGGTACGAAAAATGTTTTCTCACGAGGTTTTAGATGATATACATAAGCTATATATGCAATCTTTAAAAATGTTCTCAACGATGTAAAACCAGTTCAAGAATTGACGTACGTAAATAAGACTGTATAGAATCAGCTTGATCATTTACAGTTGCATTCAAAAGCATTATGAGTACATTTGTGAAAAAATGTCGCACCTGAAATCAAAAGTAACTTCAATCGTGAAAATCAGAGCGGCAAAAATATTTTTTATAAAGTAATAAACCAATTTTTTAACTGCTGACGTCCAGAAATTTTATGCATATATAGCTAAATTAGATAAATCACAAATTTACTGCTTTTATCAGATAATAGCTCAATTTTTTGTTTTCCACCCAGAGATTAATGACATGATACATTGAAGAAGCAAAATGAAGAAATTTACTTCACTCGACTGAGCAGTCAGGAGATATGTAACCACTATTTTTGACTGAAACATGATATTACAAATAAACCATTTGCGAGCAGCGAAGGATAATTCAAATAACATTTCGTACGTTTTCTGCCATTCCATGATATTTAACGAGCTGTAAATTTATTTTCATTTTAATTAACCATTCCGAACTGATTCAATTCCGAGCCGATCATTAAGAGAATGCATTAAAACAACATTTTAAAAGATTCATGATAAATTCCTTACCGTAGAATTTTTTTCGCTCGTAAGCCAGTAGAAAATAAAAATTTGCTAAGTAATTTTATTGTAAGCAGATAATAATCCCTAAAATAAAAGTTGTTAATGTAGGTTTGAGATAATACATCATAGCAGGAGAATAAATATACCTCATTTTCTAAACTTCAAAAAATAGATCTAAACAATCCACAACTGAGAAAAAGAAACGTCATAAAGCCTTACTCTTGAATTTCAGGACGAAACTGCTTAATTACTCGAACAGCTTGAGAACATATGTCTCGGATGAATTGAAAGTAATTTGCAGTGTACCTAGGAGTATATAAACGAGATTCTCGACCAGAAAAATAACGCGTATTTTAATACTTTTTTAGATCAGAGCTAAGGGAATGACAAACTTAGAGTTTATAGAATCAAATTCTACAGGATTGATATTTCTAGTAAAGAGCTGGTTAATTGAAAAATACTAAGAAATAATAAGAGCAAAGATTGGTCCTGGCTAGAATTTTAAGAACGCTGAGAAAAACCCGAATGGCGTATACTCACTGAGAACGTTTATTACACCAAAAAAGACTAGCTATATAATGATAAATCAAGAGTCACTAACGAGCACTGAAATCCTATTCATCTTTAATTTTACAATCAAAATACTCACTGAGACCGCTCGTGCATAGCACATGTATTTTTTTCTCGAATTAAGGCTTCCAATTTCGGAGGCATTTGTCGAATGCGAGTACCTGGGAATACATCTGTGCTATTTATACATTTTTGATTTCATTCTACTGTTCAGGGACAGAAAAGATGCCTTAACAAAAATTCATAGAACGAGATAGAGAGCTACAATTCAAAGAGTTGACTTTGAATGTTTTTATGCAGTTAAAAAAAACCAGAACTGACTTCACTGAACACAATTGAATAAAAAACCTACTAATGGACATAGCACTAATTTTTTTATCCAAACTAAGTGGACTGTTAGTAGAAGAAGTAGGTGAATGAGATGGTTGTGCAGAAATAGAAGTCGTTAATTCTACTAATGATGTGACAGATGTGGCCGCTGCTGATGTCTGTAAGGCAATCTGAGATTAATGTATCAGCTGACAAGGAGTTGAACTTAATGATACAATGCTATAAAAATTGAATAACTTTTTAATATTATCTTCATGTAAACAAGAATACTCGATAAAAATTTCGAAAAGTCATATCCGTATATTCTGATAACTTAGTCATGACCTTTTCGTAAATTAGTAAATATGCATTCCACCATCGTTTTTGTCGTCTTTTCTGAGAATGATTACCACTATTATCAAGCGATTCCGCAATGTACTCCCCACCAAACCACATGTTCCGCATCTCCTCAAAAATCATAAGTATGTAAACTAGCTAAAATGTAACAACAATATCAATCAAACAGCATTTGACATAGTGACTGCAACTGCATCTATTAGAAACATTTCAACTTTTATATTAACAAATAAAACAAATTTAACCATAACAAATATGTTAAATGGAGTTCGAAAAAAAATGAGGCTATGAAAATGAGCTTATCAAAAAATAAAGGTAAGGAAATTTTAAACAAGTATAGATCAATAGAAAAATCACCTCCTTGCTTAAATGCCATTCGGTTACGTCAATATCATCAAACTTGAACCAGCGACCTCCATCTTCTTCAGAGCGAATGAATGAATAGTAATGGCCACCATTAGCTTGTCCCGAATGTACAACGACACCACGCAAGCAATACTTGGTGTTACTAGAATTGACAAAATTAAATCTGATCGAAATACAGATGATATTAACATTTGGTAAGCAAATAAAACTAACGAACTTGTCATTCAATTTAATTTCAGATGTAGAGATTTCACTGTTACCGAGCCCTTCGTTTGTTTCCGGTGATATACTAACTGACGTTCCTGCAACCATAGCCTGATTTGTTGCCAAATATCATATAAAAATATATTTAATCAAAATGTTTCCTTTTTTACAGTAATGTTTCCTCATTCAGAATCAAAACTACATTATTTTAAAAAATTTACTAATTTTCACAGAAATATTTCACGACACACCTCGACCGCTGTCAGTTACTGACGAATTCGTAAGATCTTCTTTCGTAAATTCTCCTATAAATAAAAGTTCTGATATTGATGTAACTAAACAACAAATAACTAAAACTGAAAGGTAAAAAGAACATGTCTTCATAAATGGATCTATAAAATGCCAAGCAGATTATAAGCGCAATGGAATCAGTTAAATCATTAAGTCAAACTGTATGTTCATAGTTTTAGAGAACCTACACATTAGCAAAAAGAGCTTCATAACATCTTAGTTACATCTTGCGGTACAAATAAATAATGTACATGAAGCGAAAAAAGGCTTAGATTTTTGTAAAAAGCACTTTTATAATTTGCGGCAGTAGCATATGAAACAAATATTTTTTTTATCCATTCGCCGATGACGACTCACATGTTCCACGCATTTAATCAAAAAATACCTTCAGCTTGGGCTAAGCCGTAAACCGTAAACGGCATCATGTCAAGAAGAATTGGAAATTCGAAGTAATCATTATATTTTTGAGGTACGTCACGTTCCCAATCGAAATCGAATCTTTTTAGCTGTATCGTTAAATAGGGTGGTAGTCTTGCAACGCACAACCTTTTTACCGCCGTTACCTAAAGAATAATTAAGATGATAAAGCCTTTCGTTAAAAATAGATTCCTCAACACTATCAGCTTTTTCGTTCCCTACAATTTGAAACTGCTCAAAAATTTATGGCTTTAAAATTGAAGAAATGAAAACATCACCTTTACATTACATTCTTCGCATAGATAAGCATTATCATTATTCAACAAGTCGCCTTTAACATATTCTTTCAGCGAATCGAGGAGATTGTTATGAGATCGTACGTCAACCGAGATTGATGTAAATGCTTCTTCCCGTTGATACCTATACAATGATTAATTTTCTGAATTAAATGGAAGCCAAGAAAATGAACTCAATTTCTTTTTAAAGGAATATGAAATGGAAAAAGAGGAACTTTCAAAACAAACGAATATGAGTTGATTTTGTTCCCAAAAAATTAAAAAAATTTTACAGACGAAAATCTGGATAATTTAATCACTAGATAGTCATTCCCTCAATAACAAGCATTCTATTTTCAATTAATCTAATAAATTTTTAAAATGATTAATAGTACCTATGCGGGCAATCTTTGCAAATTTTTTGATCTGCAAATGTTCCACCAAATAAACTTTCACAGATAGGCAATTCACCCAATTTTTTAAGACCCTCATCTATGGAATCAAAAAGAGCGTTATAAAATTCTAGGGCATCCTGTTGCTCACGTACATTCACTGGTTGACCACAGAACCTGGAAATCGTAAACATAGCTGGTGTGTTTAAAATATGACTGTAAGCGTCCATGAAACTCTGACAGTTGAACTCACCGAAAATGTTTCCAGAAAAATTTTGGCGCATAAGACTGCATTTCGGATCCAAGAAGATGCGCAAAAATTGATTGCACAGCTTTAAGAATTGTCGTGTGGTAATGCTCATTACAAATACTCTCGTAATCCTAGATAAGCCACAGTTAAGTTTTGACCAAAAAAAATCACAGACAAAATTTAATAAAAAATATAAAAACTTGCATTTCCAACTTTTTCCTCAATGTTTAGATCATCTGTACAGTTCGAATTAATGATCGCATTTCGCAAAGGCTCAATCATAAATATCTGCAATAAAACTCTGATTAAAAATATTTTCTAAATTTTTATACATTTATAGAAATTTCAAACGCTAAATGTATAAATTTCATTGAGAATGATGATAAATTATCACCCTCTATTCGGGAACATGAGAAAATTAAATTTTTTGACTGAAAATTTATATATCTTAATTTGATGATTTGTTTGTTTTTTGATATGAATGAAATTGACATAGAGACGTGCCTGCTGAAATACGGAATTCATATAACATGTCGCTCCACCATTTTTCAATCCAACGTAACTGTTTGGGGAACGAACAGAGTACCCAGGCATATATTCCCATTCAATATTTTCAGTAGTAATAGGATCTGAAATCAATTTTCGAAAAGAATAATTTACATGTAACATTTAGTAATATCGTGTACCAGAATGATCTACCAAATATGAGAGAACTGACCTGAGTAGAATAGTTCAAGAAGACTTTCAGCTAAGCATTTGTAATTGAGTGGCGATGTGTCGCAAAGTGCAAGAAGCAAATTATATGCTGCTTTTTCACTTTCATTAGTACCACAAACTGGAATGCAGCGTGAAGACAGCATGGATCCCGTAGTTGCCGAATGCGGTACGACACTATCGATTTCATCAAAATCTAATGTTCGAGAATAATCTAATGAATATCGATCACGTAAAAAAGAAACTTGTTGCTGCCACACATGACTAGCTTGAACAAAATTTGTAACACATTACAATCTCAGTGAGACCAAAGTATACAATTTATTTATTTGAGAATAATTCAAAGCTTCACCACTTCTTGAAATCGCTCCATGCGTTACCGAACGTTGAATGTATGTACTACTGTCGCTTTCACGCTGTCGCATTAAGTCCACATAAGCTCGTGAAGAAGGTAAAATGAATTCGTCGAGCAATTGCTAAAAAATAAAGAAGAAAGATGCTACATTGTAAATTGTGTAAAAAGATTCCTGAAAAGAATATGAAGCCTTAGAAAGAAATATGAACTAGAACTTTATTTACGAACGCCATTCCAATAAATTACCTTGACAAGCAGTGTACCACTCGGTTCTGAACCAATCATAGTTTTTTGCTCATTCGTAAGAAATCCTAACAAGCTGCGACAAATTTCTAGTCGTCCAATTAAAGACTTATCATCTTGACAACTTTCTTGATTAGAAATGGTATGCTGCTGAAATTAAAAAGAATACGAACAATAAAAAAAGAACTAGTTCAACAGAGAGTATTAGAGGCATTGCAATTTTTGATTAAACAGACGACTATCAAATCTAGCTTTTCATACTATGAATGCTCTTCAGCTGTTCGCTTACAAAGATTTGCTTAATTGGCATTATTAATAAGTAATTGATAAAATTTCAAATCTTAAACTGTCTTTGATATTAGTTGAAGTGATAAATAAAACTAGGAAATTCCCAAAAACCTTTGCGCGCTCCAGCCAATTTAAAACCTTTTCCAGATGCTGCAGTACATCCTCAACATGTATTTTACTACTCCTACACAGATCCAAAAGCCTTAAAAACAAAAATTTTTAAGCCAAAAGAAAAAACTTTAATAGTGCTTAATGGCAAAATTGCAATGATTGGAACCAAGCAGTTTCCTTGATTTTTTAAATCCGTTAAGTGCTATGATGTTTTTCAGCTACAAAATATCTGCTTGGAAATCATAATCTATAATGTATTTGAATTTATATTAAAACATAGAAATAGAGCAGTGCAAAATTCTCACTTGCATAATAAGATGAAAAAATCCGTATTCTTTACGACTCGATCATCATTTTCTTCCAATTTACGAAGCAGCAATTGCAGCAGTGCTGATGTAAGCTCCCGCTCTGCTGCACCAGAAATAGAAACCATTCTACGAGCAACAGTAGCGAAATAGCGTCGAACAGATCTATAAAAATGTTGAAAAATTATTTTTCCAGCATCGTGACGCGAACTTACAAATTCTTACATTTATAACATCTGAAATTGCTGCTGAAAAATTTTTGAGGATTCGATATTATCTGCATGGTCTTCTACTCTTAAACTCAGCATACAAAACACATCCACTTACGAGTTTCTGCTGAATAATAAATCTGAGACAACATGATTCCATAAATGAATCATTTCCAAAACTTCAGACGTAGCATTACTACTCACGACCTCTATCGCGAAAGTATCCAAAAGCCATTCCACTGGTTCGACCTGCATCAAATCCTTTTGATATTTAAATGTTTGCAAAAGTAGATTATTTACCTTTAAAAAAATACTTCTGCAAGCAAAATCACTATCAAATTGTTATGTATTTAATACGATAAATTATTGCACGATGTTTTGTTAAACAATTACCAGCGCAGATGAGGTGGTCTGTGATTGCATTATTGCTTCGAACGATGAATCTTTTGCTAATTCACCAGATTTAATGCGTAATGGTATACTTCGCGAACCAGCAGCCCATGCAAGCCGTAAAAAACATTCTATTCTGCAGCTATTTTTTACAAGGAGTTCTGATATTGCTTGCAGTAATGCAGGGTCCTTTTCGATTCTTTTGTTGAGATCACGCGCGACAACACAGCAAACCTGCATACAATTAATTTAAGAAAAAAAACACTAACAAATAATATTAAAGAAAAATTAATTCCCATAAAGTATGTATTTATACATAGTACCCATAATTATATTTATATATAATTATTTGCATATCTTACCCATAATTCAAAAAGGAGGAATTAATTTTGCCTTTGCCGAAAAAATATAGTAAAAATCTTTTTCTATGAATCAACTTAGAACGCATTAAAGATACTTCTTTAAAAATCGCTTGTTCTCGGCAGATAACCTGATCAATCTTGAAACATTCGTTGTCGTTCGTGTTTCTCAAGTACTGAAATAACTCAAGATTTATAAATAAAACAATAAATGAGGTTTGTTTGTTTTTTTAAAAAAACGAATAAGAGATATGGTAAACAACGAACTTTTAAACGCGCAGCAACAAAGGAAACAAATTTTGCGATACTTGCTAACCACCAAATGACTGCTTTTCCAGTATACTCATCCCACAGACACAAGATTTTGGGATCTTCCAGAAAGGAAAATACTGCCAAACAACTTGGAGTGGTAAAGAAAAGAATCTAAATTGGAACATACTCTCTATATTAATGAGTAACGCATTAGCTTCTATTACAATTTATAAAAAATTTATCAAAGTCGTTAACAGTTATTATACCCTTTATTTACCCTAAATGTTGACAGTTTCAAAGTTGAAAAGCCAAAATAATGAAAACTATGAAGTAAAAAAAATATATATAATGAACTTGAAAATCTGTAGCTTCTGTAATACAATGGCCATCACAAGGTAGAAGCAAGGAATACAAAACACGTAGTAAATGTATTAATTGGTTTGATGATTCGGAAGGTAGCAAATCGCACAATCGCCCTGACCTTACCATTTCCTGTAGCACTACTACCGACATCGTGTCGGTAGGAATTTGACTGTAATAAATTCCATTTCGCGTTAGAAAAAAACTACTGCCATAGAAATAAATAAGAGTACATAGCTTGAAAAAATGAAAAAGTTACTTTAAGACGTCAGTAGCAGCCTTCCGCACATAATTATTCTCGTGCGCACAGCCGATGTCAGCCAAAGTATACAAGAATCTAACATATTCACAGTTCTCAGCAATTACTGAGCCAGGCAAAATACGCTCACTCCCTTCACTGCGCTCTGCTGTCCCTACATTACTGAAAAATAAAAGATTTGCCAAAAATATGATATAGAATTCCATCACATCACACATAAAGCTAAAAGACACAGATGTGATTGGCACATGAATCATTTCATACATATATAATCAAGAGAAAACATTTCGTACGAAAATTTTTAGCTTAGAATGCATACACTCATCTTTCATAAATAATTTCGTACGTAATTAAACAGCTGATTTTAAACAGTACAACAAACTAATTAAAATTATTTATGAAAAAAATGTTTAACCAGTAAAAAAATGTATGATCTGGGCTCGATTCAGCACTTGCCAACCCATTATTCCAAATTCCAGGGTTATTTCGCAAACGAACAATGATATGTGTCGCAGAATCAATTCCTAAATCGTCGAGCGTCTTTCGGCAATCAGATGATTGTAAAATCCTTGCTTCTGGTGGACTGAGCCTTTGCACAGTTAACTGCACTGGTGTTAGCAATCCACCAACATTACATCCCCCAATGCAGCGTAACTGATCATCAATCTACAACAATGAAGATCTATGTACATTTTTCACAAACAAACATGACCTATTGAAAGAATGAAAACAATCAAAATACTGCACTGAAAAACAACCAAAATACTAGAAACACAATTTTTTTTACAGCAAAAATTTGGTAAATGATATTTTTTTAAATTAATAAAACTAAAATGAATTTGAAAAACATTATTATATCTATCAAATGCACTTATTCACAAAAGCTTTAAGCTCTAATCTACAAATATTATCCATTTCAGCAAACTAAAAACCTTTAATTTTAAATCTGAGAGAGACATCATAGAATGTACTGCAATGCTGTGCTCGTCATCTTGTATATCAAATGCTGAAGAAAAGCAGACGATTATTTTTATTTCATATAAGAAATCATTTAGAATGTACAACTCAAAACTTCTCACAGTTACATAATAATACTTAACAGTTAAAGTAACTGAACATAACCTCAACAAAAATTGGTTTCAAAAAATTATGAACTTACAATTTATGCTGGACTCATCCGATTCTTTTAAATCTAAATGATCATTCTATTTAACTACGTTATACTACCAAATAACATATGAAGACAAAAGATAAAACGACATATTAACTCGAATTTCGGAATCCAATAAAAATAAAAGGAAATCGGAAAATATCATTAGTTGAATCCAATGTAATCTCTAACACTAATTAAAATTCAACTCAATCAAGAGAACTCTGAATTGGGAATCTCTATAAAAAAAAAAAACATACCAGGGAAAATGATCGGTAACAGGAAACACTGTCCTAAACCAGCTTTACGAAGAGGATGTTGAGATCTTTTAGGCATGCAGCAATCATCATCAAATGCACAAATGTATGATTTGAGTGCCTGAAAATTTAAGATTGCATCCGCTTTCAGAAACAAACAAATTCATTTTCAAAAAAATCAAAAGATGACTGCACTTCAGTTAAATATTACAAAAAATTAAGAAGGACTCGAAAGAAGTAAACAAGTGGTCATGTAAATGCGGTCATGAAAGAGAATTTTGAAAACAGGAAAATAAAATACCGTTAAGATCCTTCCCATACAATCAAGAAGCTCTATTTTTTCAGCTTCGTTGATTTCGCTCTTAATCAAACCACAATGCTTTGCTTTGAGCATAGTAAAACTAGAATAAATATTTTTAAATCAATCTCTGGTAAAATTAAAAATATAACATTTTCTGTAATCTGTGAATTTCGCTAATTCCTATTGCTACTGTGATCCCCTTAAACCACGTCGGCAAGAAGAGAACTTAAATTATTTGAAATTATCATTTGTCGAAATTTATTAAGAGGTGAAGCTAAAAAATATTCAACATTCTATTTATAACTCACCACTTATTAATCACTGCCTGAATCAAGCTGGCGAAGTCAGCAATCACTGAGGTATGAGGATTTGCTAAAGTTTCGACCCATAAAGAGATTGCCATCTGCGACACTTGCGCTCGACCTTGCAACATTATATCCCATAAATAATCCATTCCCTACAAAACAATTTCCATGAAATTAGGAAGTAAACAATTAATAAACGCATAAGAAACTCGAAAGATCAACATTTATTTTGCAGGTATGATTCCTTCATCAAAAAAGGCGCATTTCTCAAAATGAAAACAATTTAAACGAAATAAAATTTTAAATTCTACGAAAAATTTTTTGTCAGCAAATAAAAATAAGTGATCAAGACCATACTAAAAACCACAACAAAAATCATGAGCAAAGAGTGATTCCCATGGATATACTGAAATAATATAAGAGCCAGTTGACTTACTTCAAGATCGAAATTACACATGAGATAATGTGAAACCGCTTCAGCAGGTTGAATTAGCTTGTGATGTTTCTTATTTATTACAGTCCAAAAAATTTTGAAACATGAGAAACCCTCCTCATTTAGCAATTCAACCGGAAGCTTCAAAATCCGAGCTGAAATGTGGCAAATGTAATTATTATGCATTTAGAAAAAAGCATGCTGCATAATACAGCATCAAAATAAATATAAAACATAGCTAATAAAATGCTAATATTAGCAACACATCTGTCGTTATTACAGGCTCTCAAACATAGAAATAACAGAAATGAAGTGATCTCATAAAATCTACAAGTAAAAAATTTTTCCAATGCTTTTGGATCAATATCTTCCTGTTCTTGCATTGTCCCAAACATCTGAAATCCATACGAGCGCTCATACTCAAATACTGAATTAACAATGAGTGCGTCCCATAATTCATTTGCCTGAAATTAACTTCACTGAAATGAAACGAAAACTATCAAACTTTCATGAAAATCACTTTCCATACGAAATAAATGACAATAATAAACAAGAACTAACAGTTTCAAAACCAACCTGAAGTGTCATAAGCCAAAGTTGTCCTTCAGACAGTAGAAAATGTAAGAAACCAATACGAACTCTTAAATTATCACCATGAGTATAACGACCATCAATTATCACTGTACTTGCGTCTGTCAGACTGGTGTAAACTTGAGGCTCTTTTTTCTAAAATTTCATCAAGAGAATTGTGAACGAGGCATAAATATACATTATATAAACGCATATAGAAATAAATGTGGAAGTTAGTTTTCGTTTTCGCTTTATTATTCTGGCGCCGGATCGTATTCCGGCACTTAATCTGTACTTTCAACGCCCAAATTCGTAGTGCTGATGTTTTCGCTTCGTTCTCGTGGAATCCATATCGACAGTCAAAAGAGATGCTTTCGAGCGTCTTCTTGAGAACTATGATTGGATGTATGGCTCGACGTGGTCTGATATATAATCTCCTTCGCATAGCCTTTGTTACAATCCCATCCCAAATCATCACATACGGAATAATTTGGTCCTGCACTTCATCTCTGACCAAGCTTATTAACAGGTAGGTCATATTTTCGTTTTTTCTCGATCTCGACTGCTGTTAACCTGTCCTGACTAGTGATGCCAACCTCTATCACGACTACTTTAAGGGCTTTGTACCACGTCGATATCCGACCTATCTGTATTTATCTTATAGCTTTTCTAACTCGCATATTAACTCTGATCTCAACGTTTTCATTCGCGACGACCTCCAGAACAGAATCGCTTCGCATGCACGAGAATGCTTTCACACCATACTTTTTGCAAAGTCCCAAATGGATGCATTTTAAGACGTAATTGAGTCTTCATTGTAGTCGTGATTTAACATTATTTCACGTCTTGCTAGGTGGTCCAACGTCTTCACATATTACCTATAATCCTAGCTCGTCCTCTGGCAGCATAGCCTTTCCAAGCATGCAGTTGCTTGTGAATTCCGTATTTGATTAGTAACTGTCTAATATCGTGATCTATAGCCTTGAAGTCTTCCGGCTCCAGTTTGAGCAACCCGACGTAATAATTTTAGGCTTATAGCGTGCTCATTCACAGCTTTGATAAAGTTCTTGCCATTTAGTACAGTTTTGGCTAAGTGCTCAATTCTCAATTAAATATCGGCCCGAACTTTATCGTAGCTTTCATGGGTAGGTGCACTGGTCCTGTCTTCCACTATTCCAAAGTATTTATACCCTTGAGTTCCTTCCAATAGCGCATACCTCGGTATTAGTGGCTGACTTTGCTGAATTTACTTCTAG